AAATCTGCGCTTTTTATAGAATGGGAAAAAAAGAGAGGACACACTTTTCAGCAACTGGTGTGTCATGTGAAGGCAAAATCTGTCTGTTACAATAATGGGCAGATCATGTAATACATAGCAAATATATAATGATGAATAGCATTGTTGACAAAATATAGTCTTAGAGGAGTTTTAGAGACATTACATTTCTCCCATAGGGCTTGAGATTTACTGATTTATAAATGTCTCTAAAATCTCAATATAGCATTTTTCTCTAAAAATGTGTTTCAGCATTATGCATCTTTTTTATTACGTGATTTATTTTATTTTTTATAGTTTAGGATAGGAGTAATGCTTGCATTTGTGCCAGAGATTAATTGAATTTACACTCCTGGCCAGCCTTTTTCTGCAGGTGCCATCATTATTGGTGCACTCAAAGTACCATAAACACTATAGTACGCTGTAGTGGTTAAGGTACTAGGAGCCCCCTGCGTTGTCCCCCTATAACGAGCCTATATAGTTTCAGTAACATAAATAGACAGTGGGTGGCTTACAAGTCAAGGAAAAACATGTTCCATTTGATGCAAAAGCAGCCGTAATAGTTTGTGTATGCCCAAAATGCAATCCGGTTAAACGATTTCCACAGCTTTGCTATTTTGGGTTAACGTTTACAAACCCAATTGTGCAAACAACTTGCTGCTTAGCGAATTAACCCCATTGGTACCCAGGCTCAAGTCTGATAAAGCTGTCTTTATTTTATTCACTGTCCTGGACAGTCGGGGATACCCAGGTGCGCACACTCCATTTGCTTCCAGGAGTATGTTTAAGAATTAGATAACATATTTAGAATGTAACAAAAACTCCTGTATCTCTGCCTGCAGCAAGTTCTTCGTTTTCCCGTAGCTCAGTGACAGGATCACGGAAGAATTTTGTGTAACTAATTAGTACTTAGCTTGCCAGAAATAAAATGGACATTGGCAGCTTTCTTTATAATGGTAAGTGAAACATAGTTTAAACTAGATTGGACTTAATTTCCTTTTCACTGAAAGGAAAGAAAGATTAATGAAATATCCCCAAATCCATCCTGTTAGTTTTTTATTAAATCAGCAAATGAAATTTAACCTTTGGTTGTGTTACCGAATCTTTTCCTGCGGGTCAGGTTACTGCTCTCATAAGTGCTCTGGACATGCATCCCTTATAACAACATTTTTTTTTCTTTTCAATATGAAAATTAAATTATTTCAGTCAACTGAGTAACTTTGTAGGGCAAACAAATATGGAAGAATTATGGACAATTGTAGTAGCCGTAATGAGCAGCATCCCATGGCGCTAACACGTTACCGGTTCCAGCTGGCTAATGGCGTTGAATTCTCACACAGATATTTCGGCCCTGAGACAGATTTGCTAATTGTAATGATCTCATTTGAAGTGTTGTTTTGGCTACTCGTTGGCTGTGTTTTATGTGTATACACTTGGAACAGTAAAAAAAAAGAAAAGAAGACAGTTTTATAGCATAAGTGGGTGTAAGGTTGGCCTGGGTATCCTGTAAACCACCAGCTGACATTGAAATGCTAGTCTGATTATCCTCAGCCACGCAATTTTTATTGGTAAACAGGAGATAGAATTCAGAAATAATTTAGACACTTTCTGATGGGTCTGATGGGAAACAAATAGGTATGTTTGATGAATTCGGAGGATTCTCTTTTCCGTTTTATAATCAGCGCACAATTTTTCTTTTTTTTAATATATTCTTTATTTTCATATTGGCAAGACAACATGCTATAATAGTACACTGTTCTACTGCACTATGATGCATGCAATGAGAGTAGGAAGTACATATGTATCATCAGGTGTCGCAGCACCCATACAATGTGCAGTACAAAACTCAAGTGTTTACATTTTGTTGGCAACGGGCATTTACATTGTGTATAATGCATAGTTGGATAGCGTAACTAATGCATCACCTGTGGTTGTCCACCAATAAATTTTAACTTTTAACACGGAAACATAAAAAGAGAACAAACACAAGGGCAAGGCATGCATGTAAGTGGTACATCACGATAGGTTAGCGGTGCACTCAAGCTGGGGTACTTTCTTCTGCCTTCCCGTGAGGCCTCATCGTGCCTTAGGGCCCCCGTGTCTTTCATGGAGCTGCATGGGCAGTTATACCTAGTGTTGTCCGTGAGAGAAGAAAGGATTACAGTACTTGTAGAGAGGGAGGAGAGTAAACTAATGAAAAAGAAGTGGGGAGGGAGGTGGGAGGGGGGTCCGTGGCAGAGATAGATACCTATATATTGAATTACACTTACCTTTTTCCACTAGGTCTGTTAGGTCTTAAGTCCCAAGACGTAACTCCAGAATAATATTTACAGTTTGAGTAGCAACTCTAAATGATATCCTCACAGATTGTAAGCTCATTTGAGCAGGGCCTTCTTCACCTCTTGCCTCTGTTTAATATTTTGTATGTCAAGTACTTGAAATCAATTATTCCTATTCTATGACTGTAATTCACTGTGGAATATATAAATACTAATAATATGGTATGACAGCATTAGCAAAGTGCATCTGGAAAAAACACTTTGTGACACGAGTTGAAATAAAATAAATGTCCTGAATTCAAGCTAACGAGAAGCATTTTGGGTCCTTTGTAAAGGAGAAAGCTTGAATTTATCAAAATAATTTCACTGCAATTAATTTAATTTTTATTTAACTGTCTGAGAGATTTAATTTTTGTAAATAGTAGTAGAACCAATACAGTGCAACAATATTTTCACAGAGCAATGGAATAAATTATTATAAACCGTCACAACGTTGGCCAATGAAATAGACACATTATGGGCATTTAAGAGATCTTCAATCTTCAGGTTTAATACCAATACATTGCTTCTACTGGAACTGAGATAAGGGTGATACAACTTTAATGAATCCATTTGCCCAGTTTACTCCTTATCTTGATCTGAATGTTAACGTCACATGAGCATCACGCAAATATTTAAATGTGAAATTAACATTAATTTTGGATAATTCATGCAAGGAGAAAAATTTACTTCTCTGTTTTTTTTTGTTTGTTTTTTTTGTTTTGTTTTCTTACCTTGCCCTCCAAATCATAACTCTGTGATTCACAGGCTCATGAGTGTGAAACAAAGTTGTTTTTTTATTAGTGTCTGTTTTTTTACATGCTTCCCCTGATTTCCTTTTTGAGAATCATGAGAATAATATTCTATTTCAGAACAAAGGTATGGTCTAAAAAAACAATATGACCTTATACACAGGCCTAACTAGAAACCACAGGGCACCGGTGCAAAAATTGCCCTAGGGCCCCCCATACATCTACCCCCCACCTCATACATCCCTGTCCACCCATACATCTACCCCCCACCCCATACGACCCGCCTCCACACATGCAGACAAACAGATACACATGCAGACACAGACACACATACACGTAGACACATACATACATAGACACACATACATACATACATACATACAAATACACACATACGAACACACAGAGACACATACATACAGACATACACACACACACACACATACACACAGATATACTGATACAGACATTCTCTATCACACACACACACAAACTGTTAAAAAAATATAGTGACTTACCTGGGGTCCAGTGGCTGCCTCATGCTGATGGGAGCCAGAGCCCCCACTCTAACTCCCTTCTCTCCTCCTGCATGGCGCTCTTTTGGCTGGGAGGAAGTGACGGCTTCCCCCTAGCTCTAACATCATCACTGGGGCCCGGTCGCGCTGTGCCGCAGCGCTGGGAGGGCCCCAGGAAATCCTGGGGCCCCAAGAGCATGAGCCACCCGATGGCAATGGATTTCCTGGGGTTTGGTCAGCGCTGGGCTCATTCAATGCGGCCCCGGTGGTTTTCGTAGGGGTCGACAGGGCAACCGGGCACAGCTGTGACCCCTGTGACTGCGGTAGTTCCGCCAGTGACCCCATATCTTTCAAATGCTCATGTTCAGCAGGAGTTTAAATGTTAAGTAGTTTGAGCTGGACTCAAAGTTCTGAGACTGACACAGCCTGGAATCACTGTTTAGAACTCCAGAGAGGAGAGAGCATACATTATTATTGTGCATGGAGTTTATGCATGCTGCATGTAAAATAGGGACAAAATTCATATATAAGGAGCTACCTACTAAACAGCTAAAAAGTCAAAGTTAAGAATATTTGGGAACACGAAATTTGATTTACCAAAATCCAAAGAACAAACCAAATTTCTTGGACAAGATTTGGGCAAACCAAATCACTAAATGGATGGAAACATTATTTTTTTCAGGTGAATCAATTTGGACAAACTGAATTTTTTCGTTTTGCAGAAGTTTAGGGCTAATGCTATTCATGGTTATGCTAGATGCCTCTTGATGTGAAGAATTTGCCCACAAAAAAATGGGTTTATTTATTAACCAGCTAATTGTGCTGAGTTGCAATATTTTAGGGCAAACATGTTAAAATAACAGGTGGATATTTTGTTTGTCTAATTCTGCTTTCCTGGACTGTGGTATGCAACTTGGATATCAACTACAATTCTCTGTTTAGTGAATGCCGTCATATATCAAGAGAACATCTTCTGAATCATTGTTTTAATCCTGTACAGTATTCTTACGCCAAGTCTGGTTGGCAGGATTTAGGCACCTTCTCATCTTTCCATCAAAATGATTTCTTTGGCTCATGTTTTAATAAATATTTTAATCAACCAATACATCAAATATTACATCTTCTGTATTTGAAGAGCAGGCTTTTGTTTGATATTTACAATAAATCTTTAATATAATGCATTAAACACTTATACATCTATAATAAATCTAAACAGAACCATGAATTAAAATAAGCCACAACCTAACATGTAAGAGGCTTCCCCCAAAACAGACAGAAGCTTAGTAAATTGGCCACGGCAATGTTCGCACAGGAGGGACTTGCTCACTTGTGCTAGTGTTTCTCTTGCACGTCTGATTTACTTATTGAAGTCTTAAGGTTAATCCAGATGTGAATCCCTTGCATACGATGTCTATATAAACATAATATCACTGACTGCCTATGGGACGTCAAAAAGTCCTTGGGAGTCTTGTTTCTCATAAAGTGTCAAATCGCCTGCCTTTTCAGATGAAGATGGACTTTGTTGGTGGGACTAGCCATGTGTACTCAAACATTTAACCTAAATCTGGAACAACAAAAAACACATTTAAGATATTTACGGCTCATACGATAAGCTAAGATTCTACAGGTTTACGTTTGTTTAGAGCATTATGTGCATATAAATATTAATTTCTTTTTTAATTTGTTGACTACTTTTCCATCTGGTGTTAAATTGGCATAAAAAAAAACCCACAAACAATTTGTGTGTACTTTAATTTTTATTTATTTACTTGTTTATTTTTGTGTGTAGAGTTTTGCAGTCACTTGGTTCATTTTCCTACCATTAAATGTTCAACTGCTGTTCTTATTGTGACTTTCTCTATAACCATATCTGCCTTTGGCCAAATTCTGTACTACTCCAGTACTAGTCAAGTCTCTGCTAAGCTCTTTTTTCCATGATATTCCTGTTACCCTTTCTCTTTCTCTCTTTCTCTCTGTCTTACACACGGTTCTTTACTCTTTTACACTTCTACCAGGTTAATTATCTTGTATAAGACTCCTATTTACTATTGTTTCATTCAAAACTAAAAATAAAATTAAGCCACAGCTAATGTAGCCCTATCAACCACCCCTCTGAACATTTACAACCAAAAAAGGTAGGTGTTGACCTACCTTTTTGAAATATATATTTATTGCAATTTCTGTTCTGTTTGTTGGGGGGAGGGGGGTCTTTATAATCTACTTGTTTTTTTTGTTTTGTTTTTTAAAGAGACTGTGGTGGAACTGAAGAAGCATCTTATGACTATTGAGTTGTTTTTTTCTCCAATAAGTGATAAACCTACCAGGAATTTTCATTGTGAAATTGACGAAGCAGATAATGGGCACGTAGAAAAGATGTTTAGCTTGTTAGTGAAAATTCTATTAGTAAAACGCTGTGCGTGTGTTTAAACTTCAAATTAGCAGCTTAAAGAATATGATTTAATCTTAAACCCCTAATCTATTAGCCACTGGCAACCTTGCTTTTATTTACACTCCGATAGAATGAAATGGGTTTTAGCAGCTAAACAATTAGTGCTCGGCATTACCATTCACTAGAGTATTTATCTTTAAGAAGACCACCTACAAGCACAGCCGGAGCAAAGTTGATGCAAAATAAGACTGAGCAACCAGTCTGTCATGCCTTCTCTGGCTGCAGTTTCAACAGATTATGCGGGGAATATTGAAAAAGGATTGTCTTGATAGCCTGTGTTGATAATGAATTGTGCTCAAAAACTAAATCAAACATATATGCGCATGTATAAACAGACAAATGTGCGCACACATATGTACATAGAAATATGTGAATTTCTTAGATAAATAGATTTAATATAGGGAAATATATAAAATAACAGAAACATCTAATTATGCATTGTCAAGTGTCAGGTAACCTTTTGTATCAGTCAGGAGCATGTCATAGGCTGGCATCTCGTTGCAGGGTACTGGGGACACTCCTGCTAACTTTCAGCTTGTCCTTAGCGATTCTCACGCCAGCCGCGATAAACCCGCCTCCTTTTATGACGCGGCTAATGAGCGCCGACGTCATGATGCTAAGTACGCCACGGCCCGCTAAGGGGTTCGAACAAGAACATTTTGGGGGCGTGGTTACCTACTTAAGTGAACACGATATTTAAAGAGAAACCAGGGCGAGACTCATTGCCCTGTTGTGGTTCTTGTTTGACCCAAGAGCACTTATTCCGTATTGGTATTCTTGTATTCTGACTTTGGCTTCGTTTGACTATTCCTCCTTCTGTGTTCCTTTGACCTCGGCTATGGCATTGTCGTTGATCCTGATTTCTGGTACCCCTGACCTCTGCTTGCTATTTGACTATTCTTTGTGTGTGTAGTGTTAGTCCGGCCATCCTAAGGTCCGTTATACATTACAAGTATTTGCATTCTGCTTGTAGGATCCCGGAACGTTCCTGATCTCAAGAGGGGAATGGCGTCTTTTTTTGCTTTGAGACAAGATTCATTCACACTTGGGATTCTGTCATTTGAGTACTGAACTGTGTACTATATTGTACCATTGCCCAAATCCAGTTCTTCATATGAAGGATATGGAAATCTACTTCAGGTTCTGTGCTCAAGATCTTCCGTAAAAGGTTTCGTGATTATTAGCCTTGTGTGTTCGGGTTTGGATGAACTGCGATTGGTACAAAAATTGGCCGATATCGTTATTGTTGAGATGGGGTTGTAGAGGTGTTGATACATTTAGATGTTATTCTTTCATATTATGGTCGTTCACTGATTCGCAAAGTTGTAAGATCAAAATTAAGAAAAATCCTTTGCGTGTTTTGTAAATCCGATCTGTCGCTTGCAGGGTAGCCATTCTCTTTTTTTATTCAAGTCGTCAGCCTCAACTACCAGTAGTTACATCATCCTTATACTCATGTCCTTACAATATATTTTGCTTTCACTTTATAAAATTAAATCTAGTAAAATGTTATGAGTTTCAGCAGCCACAAGGAACGAAAGCTCCATTTTTCCCCATTTAATACATTATTGCTTACCCCACCCCATACAATAAAATTTGTAACGCTCCAAAAATAATTTTTTTTTTCTTAGAAGGGAAAATTTAAAACACCTATTTATATATCTTTAACTCTTTATTTTTTTTACGTTTTATAGAATTTTATTAATTTAATCTTTATTAAACATTTTCTAATTATTATAGTACAAACAATTGATAACAGTATATTAATACATCCCTCGTACATCTGTCAATTTCATTGTATACAAGCAATGGCATACTGTTATCCAACAACATTCATTCACACTAACATACATACATATGGACCATCTTTTAAAGTAAATCATTAGAGTGTTTATTAAAGACTAAGGGCACTAACATATGCAGCTAATTTTTTTTTCCCTCTTTCATTTCCCTTTCTTTTTTATTTTATATAGAATTCAGTTTATTTATAATATCTAAATAAAGAGCATGCCTGTTTTCCTTGTCGATATTATAGTTAATGCCTTTTTCCATCTCTAGTTATTGGGATGGTTGGTTTTTAAAATGTACATGCCAGAGGGGTTAAACTCATCCTCCAATGTCTGACAATCGTCGGGCATCTTTGTAGAATCTTTACGTGCGTTTCAACAATATTTAAACAATGAATAACTTTTTTAGTTTTACTTAATGAAGCACACCAAACCATTAAAGGAATTGTTACGTTTAAGTCGTTCTCCCACTTTTTTAGCGCTGGGGGATAGAAAGAGTGGTGTCTAGAGGCTAATAGTGTCTCTACACATGAAATTATTATTATTATTTTTTTTTTACTGGGTTACCATTAAATATTTTTTTTCAGAAGTCTTTCTTTATTATTACAAAGTTTCAAAAAATGGCCTCTAAGAAAACTTTTAATTCGTAAATAGGAAAAAAAAACTCTTGATTAGAGATCTCCAATTTGGTAGATATCTCATTACAGAATAAAATTTCATTATTGATACATAAGTCATTAATAACTAAGTTTTGAGTTTTATAGAATTTTAAATGTTTACATTTTAAATGGAGTAGGAATATTTTTTTTTCTAATCTCATGTGTCATTTTTAAGGTCACCAGGATTTAAATACCCTTTGTTCACACAAACTTGATGTGGGGTGCAAAAAAAAAAAAAACACCATATAGCGCATTATTATTTAATCATAGTATGGATTGTGGCGGATTAAAATGGCTGGAATAAGGAAAAATTCATGTACCACTATTCTAGCAGCTATGCCAGTACTCACTATTTAAATACAACTATGTTGGCTGCAATGCCAACACAAGGAGTCAGGATAGTTAAGGATTTCAATAACAGTTTTATATCCCAGCAGTATGTGATTGAGGGGTCCCTGCGTAGCGTGATCATCTCCAGCGCAAAACTAACCCACCCCAAAAAGGGAAACAAAAGGAAATGTTATTGAACAGTCTTTTAATTTATTCTCGTCAGTGTCTTTATATTCCTATGTGTTGTTTTTTTCTTGTATGCGTATATTATAAAGAGTTTTAAACAACATCGCCCAAGTACCATAAATAAATAGCATGTGAAAAATATAAAGAATAGTAGAGTAGTTGGAACATGATAAATATTTTAAGCTGTAAACCAGCATATTTCATGCTTCCAGCGTGACCTTATTAAATCTTACCGAATTATAATGTAAAATATGACATGGTTTATGGTAAATTATGCATTAAATTTAACATTAAACATTCTTGAAGAAAAAAAAAAAAAAAGGTTTGCAGTATTCATATATATGTTGTTTTAGATTACAATGGTCTCTTACGTGGCACCTTTTGAGGGCCGGATATCAGATTGATACCCCCATTCCTCCTTGGAGACTTTGTGAGCTAGATCTTTCAGTTTTATCCAGAAGCGAGAGGGTTAACTGACCATTTCAATGCCAGGTTAACCAAAAAGTAATGCGAGCCAGCACTTTCACCTGGATACAACCTCTGACTCTGATATGACCCCAGACGAAAATCTGCCCGTACAGAGTTTGGCAAGTCATAAGCAATGTTAGAGCAGCTAAATATTTGAACTCTGTCCAACTTTCTGTTGCTTATTTTGAAACAAGTTTAGCCACAATACGCTCAAATGAGCTATTTTCCTGGTTTCCTTTCTGTCTGAAAGAGTCTGATGGGATTGAAGAGAATGGAAGAATCCGTTCTTATTTACAGCAGCGATCACGCGTTACCTGCCTCTGCCTGGGATCGTATTCATTCGGCATCATAACTGTTAGTTGTCAATGTTTTTGCTTTTCCCCTCCTGTCTTGAATTCCCCTGTTGTGAAACAAAGACTTATCACATGCTTGTACCATATCACAATGTGTTAAAGTAAAGTTGATTTGAATTTATTACACTGAAAGCAGATTGTGTGTGCAAAGCAAGGCCTTAAATATTAAGCTGAGCTGTGATTCTGCTCCATAACATCTAGGCTATTAATACTGGACTGAACAGAGATTTTGACATCATTGGTACATTCAAACTATATATTAATTCACACATTAATGCGCTGATGTACTACATTCATGCATCCACTCTGGAAATACTTGCCCTCTCATAAACCATTAATACGCTTGGCCCATTATCGTTATAAATACAGTCAAAAAAGGAATTGAGGTGCTTAAAGCAGCAAAGACTTTTGCGTAGTCCCTACCTATTCTTATAGATAAGTTTTTAAAAAAAAGTGCCCCTTTAAGTACATAATCCTAATACACATTTAAATAAGACCACTACAAAGGCTATAAAGTGTAAATAGTGGTGGGGTTCAGTGCAGGGCTAATTTCTGTAGATCTAGCTGTTTTGGGTTTATTTTCTTTCCTAATATACCGTATGTATTTACGTCATCATTTTTTATTGGATATGAAAATATGCTTTAGTCCACTTGTGCCATTACAGGGAGAATCTATACCATTTGTCTATCAGACTGATTCCACCAAAACGACCAGACCAGAACTGCTATGCCAGGCAGGTTGCTACACATGTATCTTCTCTACTCATGCTTATATCATTTTAGTACATGACCCATCTGTACATAACAGATCTTCGAGGCTTTGTACTCCTGACATACATCATCAGTTGCAAAGCAATTAAGGCAAATGTTGGCTTGACCAGCAGCAATTAAACTTAAGCAAACTAAAAATATATTGGTGGAAAAAAAGTAATTATTGAGGTCAATCTGACCCGCAATGGTCTAGAAAGATTATCGTCTTAATTTTTGTTATTATGGCTGCATTTATTTCACATAAAAAAGGACAACGGAACACATGAAGCAAAGTTGGTGTCCAACTGTGCCGCAACATAAGAAAATGCTTATAAATAAATATAAAAAGAATCAAATCTTCACAGTTTTCCTGAGCACACTATGAACCAACCAGAAGACTGTTAAATCACTCCTGTGCAGCTGATCAGATGTCAACTTGTGTCTTTTTAGGGGACATTGTACCATGATGATCTTTGACCTAGAATAGCCTCTCTGATCCAACCACAAGGGGTTCCAAGTGTTTGTGTTCTTAAGGGAATCTCTCTCTGTTTTGTTTTAGTTTTTCAAAGTGTTTTTATTCCTTTTTGGTCTTTGTAGTTCATTTTGTTATTACCCACATACATGCCTTCAGTTCAGTCTCTTATTTCAAAATACTTTTTGTCTGTCCATTTCTTACCATCACCAAGGCATCAGTACTCATGAAGGGGTCTTCATGTTGGGGTACCACCACTGAACCAAGATTTTAGGGGACCCAGAGGGCTATTTTGTTGAACCATATGTCAAATAATCAATACATTCTTAAATTTGCTTATACCCATCAAAAATGATTAAAATTTAAAAAAGTGATCTTGTGATAGGTTTAGAATAACAGAAATTAAAATAATTCAATACTTCAGTCCATTCTTACTAGTAAACCAAGGAATTTTATACTATTAGCCTGGAGCAACTAAAGTATTTTCCTTTTGTTTCTTTTCTTTAAATAGATATTCAGATCTTAATTTTCCTTGAACACTTTCCAGTCTGAAACATTTTCCCAGAGTATCATACATTATGATGACTTAAATTTTCTCAAACCATTTTCCATTATCCAAGAGACAAATAGGAGTACATGAATCTGAAAGTGAAACCCATAACACAAGCAGAGCAAGTCCAAACATTTTTGAGATTTACCCTCATTTTTGTTCCAGAAGATTTGTGCAATGGCACAGTTACAGTGTTTGTTTTTCATTTCAATTTCAATTCTATAAATTGTTAGGTAAACTACAGATAAAAAAATAAATAAATCACAAATAGTACGTTTCTCGAACATCTCCAACAGTTACATGCTGTGGAATACCGCTCTCTCATATTTAGTGTTGTGTTGACTGTATTAGTAATCATTGCAAGGCTAAATCAGCATATATTCCCATTTGGATTCATTGACTAGTAATCACATTAATAAAAACATTTACTTTAGTTTAAGTGCCTGTTGCTATTCAAGATAAGAGCAAGAACATGCTCACCATTATATCCCAACATTGGCCATTTGTCTGACTTCATCGTCTATAGCACAATTCTTTATTTCCTTGTGCAAATTAGGTTGTCTCAAAAAATTAAAAACTGGGGGGCTTGTCCTGACCTCGGAGGAGAGAAGTCGCATGTGCTGTTAGCTCCGTGAGTGACAGGCACTATCACACAGCAATAGCCTGCTATGTCACACCACAAAGGGAAAAGACAGACGGATAAAACCAACAAATAACAAAAAAAGTGGGTGGGTGGAAAGAGTGAGACCAGAAAAAAGTGCAGGCAAGCCTCTGTCTAAAGGTCACTCCTAACCTTTAATAAACTTAAAAAATAAACTGCAAAGATAAAATCAATACCAGATAACAGGGTGCCACAGTCACTCTAGTTGACAACTTCTATGAGATAGCCTCACAAACAGATATAGAGAATAAAAAAACAATTAGTGAAAATATAATACAATTTATTAAACAGTTAAAATCAACAGAGGTAATTAAGCAATATCACAATACATAAATGTGCAACAATCGCAATTGTAAGCCCAAATGGGCAAAAAGAACCTTTAAGGATAGCAGATTCTTATAGCATAATACAAAAGATTATATTAAAGTGCAAGTGCTAAAGTACAAAGTCAAGTAAGGGAAAGTGGTGCTCAATATGCCGCTGGAATGGCAGCTAACACCCACTATTCCTTCACAGCACGTAGTCAAAAGCACACCGTTTGAAAGTGCAAAATGCAAATGGTTATAAAAGTAATTATAAGACTGCTACTACCAAATCACAGGGTTCTTGAATAAGGCTCAACGCATTTCGTCGATCCGACTTCCTCAGGAGCTTCTGTCTTCTTCCTGGTCTTCTCTCTTTTAAATCCGCCGGTCCGTACATTTTGGTTTGGCAAGGGAGTGCCCCTTGCATGTGGACCTGCATATAAGGCCAGTTGTAACTGCCATTAAAGACATTTTGTTGAACTCTTCATGAAGTCTAGGCTCATGTTTGGGGGATTGGAGAGCTATATTTACTCTGGGGATTGCTATAATCACTATACTCCCTTAGATCACAACAAATTGCTCTTGTGAGAGCAGCCTGCTTCTCTCTCTGGACTAGGAGAGGTCTACCTACTGGAAGTTGGAGCCTGGTCTTGGGTCCAGGGTGGGTGGAGGACAGCGAGACCCCAACCAAGCTGCGACAGTTTGTGGGGTTTACGGTGGTTATGGTGTTCCAGTGCGGTGCTTATGGTGCTCGCAAGTACTAGGAAGCAGCGATTGACGGAGGTACTCGGTTGGGGTGCCAGACGGTCTGTTACATTAACATTCAAGCCAAGAATTGCACTAATGTACTGTTTAGCAAAGTACCACCAAGTTCAAAGGTATATTTTTGTACCTCATTCCTTCAATGACATTTTCTCCATATGTGAGGTTTAATTCTATAACCTAAAAATGAATGATAGATTCCAGAAAAGTGATGACACGGTATACTGGATGTTTATGATGTACGTGCATTTATTAGGTAATGCTTTGTTGAAATATGTGTGTTAAAGGTCTTTCTATTATTGCAACATTCTATGTTGAATCTGATTTTGTAAGTCTTTGTGTCTGGAATTAATAATAAACCTAACTTCCACGGATCCCCAAATTTGACCTAATCGAATTACAGAAGATGTAATAGACTTAGAAAAACAATTGTATGCATTTTCAAACCAAATTAACATGATATTTAATGCCTGGGTCGTGGAATTATTATTTTAACTGGAAATGTTCCATGTCAATAGATAAAAAATAGAACTGTACGTTTTGCTACATAATCACAACTCAAATCAAAGATGGCCAGCTTGCCCCAGGCAGCTGTCTGTTTTGTAATAACCGCTTTCCTGGTCTTGAGAAAGAAAGGGATAAGTCAACTATTTTAAGGCAAGGTGAAATCAGCCGTGACCAAACCTTGGCATTTTGCACTTTGTCCAATATTCTTCTTTAGGAAAGCGAGGGGGAAAAAAAGGACTTTCTTTCAGATGGAAAAAGATGAACGTTAGTTTATTTTTGCTAATCCATCGAAGGCCAGAAGGAAAAGGTTCTGCCGTCTGCTCTGTCACTTTGGGATTAATTTGGAATAAAATATTTATATACCTTCTGCTCAAAAATGAATATGCATAATAAACTATTTTTTTTTATCTCTGAAAGTAAAAGTATACAATCATAAAGGCGAAAATAGTTTCTGTGGTACACTTATTGGAAAGTGAAGAAAGAAAGTGCATTGAGATGAATTGTGATTACAGAATGGACCTTATTTATCAATGAAATTGACGTTACGGTATCAGAAACCATACTATGATCATCACTGTATTCTAAGGGTTTCTCAAAAGAATGAATAAAATATATCCGTTATTATTGTCAAAAGTTCCTTTTGATCTGGAAGACCCCAATATTTATTTTTTATTTTTATTTGAAACACACTTTACCACTCATAATTGGATTTGCATTAAATGGAAGGCTGTGTTAGCATTTGATGCAAATGTAAAATATCCCATTATTCTAATGATGCTGTTGACCATAGAAACATAGAAACACAGAATGTGACGGCAGATAAGAACCATTCGGCCCATCTAGTCTGCCCAATTTTCTAAATACTTTCATTAGTCCCTAGCCTTATCTTATAGTTAGGATAGCCTTATGCCTATCCCACGCATGCTTAAACTCCTTTACTGTGTTAACCTCTACCACTTCAGCTGGAAGGCTATTCCATGCATCCACTACCCTCTCAGTAAAGTAATACTTCCTGATATTATTTTTAAACCTTTGTCCCTCTAATTTAATACTATGTCCTCTTGTTGTGGTAGTTTTTCTTCTTTTAAATATAGTCTCCTCCTTTACTGTGTTGATTCCCTTTATATATTTAAATGTTTCTATCATATCCCCCGTCTCGTCTTTCTTCCAAGCTATACATGTTAAGATCCTTTAACCTTTCCTGGTAAGTTTTATCCCGCAATCCATGAACCAGTATAGTAGCCCTTCTCTGAACTTTCTCTAAGGTATCAATATCCAATAATGCGCATGCATGTGAAAGGAATGAAGATCGAATCATTATTTCCTCTGCATAGATACTTTGAGTCCTCCTTCAGAATGTTGTCAATAGAAGTAGTACACAGACTTGATCACCATACTGCACCGAACTAATAAACACATGTTGGATAGTTGGTATAGTTCAACACTTGGCTACTTTTTTGTGTATAGCATTGGCCACTGACTCCTAGGTAGATGCTATTCATTGTCCACAAAGATGTGTCTCAGTGTGTGTGTCATCTCAAGAAGATAACCCAGTCCAGATGTCCCTATCTGCTGTACATTTTTCTTTTTAATTATCCATTATGCTATATTTACCAAAAACCTTACCCACTCTCATTTCGTGCACACAGGAACAGAATGTGACAGTGGGTACCCCATGCACATTTATCAGGCACCTCGATAATACCATCATATAGTCTTTCACCTGTTTCCTGTTGCGCACACATCTAAGTGTGCCTGTGTGCAGGTTGGGGTCGCAAGTAGTTTAAGCCACAAAAGCGAGAGATGGCAGAACCTTCTCTTGTCTACAGTGTTGTCTGACATCATAGCTATATTGCATGTCTGTGATTGCATGAACTGGTGACACATGAAGAGTTGCAGGATTCCTTTTGGTCTAGAACCCCCAAGTCACATTTGCACATCTTGAGAATAATCACATTATGTATCTCTCATTTAGCAGAGGCAAACAATTGCCTCAAAACTGATGTCATCTACTTAATTTTTTAAGTCTAGGCCATTTACATGTAAACTAATGCAACTGAATTATATAGGACATTTAATTGTGTGTAAATGCACAATAGGGCGTAGGTAGACCCACTGCTAATTCTGTGTACACTGCAAGTGTATTATTGAAATGAGGCCAGAAATGTATGGTTTTGCTGTAACCATCAATCTGACATCAACGAGTTAAATACATTAAACGGATTTTCACAGAAAACTCCATAATTTAGTTTAACAGTTTGTTTGAAGTCAAGTCTAGCTGCCACCCCCATCCCCTCCAGTCTTCCCCAAGGCTGCAGAATAAATAAACCAGTCTAAAACGTGTTTAGTGTTTTATTTTCCAAGGTTCCCATATTTTCATACAAGCCTGTGGTACTTTTTGTATGAAATCCTCACATGTGCTAAAAACAGGAACTCGGTAAGAATTTGGCTTTCTAGCGATCCCTATAACTATATATCCGTTCTCTGTGGTAGGTAAAAATAACTTCACATCGTGGCTAATGGACGCCTTTTTTTTTCTTTCTTCGTTTCCTTCTCATTCTCCATCTGTGTTTTTGGCTAGAGTTTGTCTTACAATCAGCCTGCCCACATCACACGTTTTTATTGGCCAACATCCCCCGTCCAGCACAGACGTTATACACTCTTTTCCTTGCTCCAGTACAGACGCCCTACCCAAAGGGGCTAAAAAGACATTGTCCCCGTGTTGTAATGTTATGAAGAGCTCTGTTCCAATGAATGTGTTCACCAACACATACAACCAAAAAAAACTGGCTCTTATTAAAGGGAAATCACAGCTAAAATGCTGGCAAGAAGTAGTAATTTTGAAATTTTTTGCAATATATAGGCAATCCTGAAATATTTTTTAATAAAAACTATAGTGCTAGGAAAACAAAGTTGTGCTGGAAGGTGGTGCTGGAAAGGTTAAAAACACTTCTGTCACTTACCTGATTTTAGCGCCGATGTTACTCGGTGCTGGGTCTCTGCTCCTCCTCTGCCAACATCAGCCCCCACCAATCCTCAGGATAAAACTCAATGCCATCGTATTCAACATCCATCAACTCTTCCCTAACACCCTGCCATGAGGCAAAGTTCAGCAAACGGTGCGACCACCTCCGACCAAACTACCACCAGATCATTAAAAAGAGTGTAACAAGGAACCAAATTGTGTTTGATTGGATGAATCAAATCGATTATGCCTGCCCATATTGTTACCCTCGCATGTATAATTAAAATAACAACCGGAAACAAAACGGCTCAAGGCACACTCTAATCCAAAATACCTAGATTGCGACCATATGGCCTTTCCTCCTGCCCTCCGAGCCGCCCAATAGATGAATAAATGACCTGCAATCCATGCAAAGAGCAGCAGACCGTATACAAAACAAAAGTTACTCCAATTGAGGGCAGGCGTACAACTGATACCTGGATGACCTCCACCGGC